AGAAGAAGAAGAAGAAGAAGAAGAAGAAGAAGAAGAAGAAGAAGAAGAAGAAGAAAAGTTTTACACCAATAACAATAAAAGATCATAGGAAGTTAATTTTATTTCTTTTTTGTTTTGTTTTTTTCTCTACTTTTTTAAAGGTTGAAAGGTAACCCCCAACCACATCTAAGACCATTAGATATTCAATCAATTTGGTCCGAATATTCACAGTATCTTTCTGACAATAAGAGAAAAGGCCACCAAAACGTTTAAAAGAAAAACCATTCCCCACCTGCCTTGGTTTATTTGACCGTCGTTTCTCTACTGTTGTCCCCGTATGGGCCTTTGGCTTCCTTGATAAATTGCGTCGATAAATGGGATGGAAAACACCTACAATTACTTAAAAAACAAGCAAAACAAAACAATATTAAATTTGTAGATTATGATATTTAGAAGAGTATTGTTTGTGATTTGAAGGAGCATTGGTGAGCCCCAATGTTTACCACTTGTATTTCTATTCTGCATTTTTATCTCTATACCAAATATGTCACAACGCAATAGAAACAGGCACTCTTCAATTTTTGTGCATATGGAGTCATTGTAAAAAGTTGTTCCCGCATCCGATCTGCGCTTTGGGGATTGCCTTGTTAGTGAGTCAACTTCCTGGGCCTTCGGCATAGGAGCTATATTGTTCATTTTGTAAATGGCTGCTGTCGTATTGAAGTAGTTCTCTTTATTCAAACTAAAAACAGGAGAAATTTGTCTTGCCTAACTCAAGGAAGACGCTCATTCTGGTAATTAAACGCACTGTTTGGGGCTTCTTTTTTGTTTTGGTAAGTGTTTTACGGAGCTCGCAACTGCATATGAACTCGAGGTAAGAATTGATTTTAAAAGAAGCCCGGGTGGCGGCCGAAACCTACTCCTATCGATTTTGGACGACCAGTGGATCTTTAACGTGGGCTACTTGTACATGAGGCCTCCGATATTTTTTGGCCTTATTCGAGAAGGTTAGGGGCGTTATAGCTTACCTACCCTAAGATCAAGGGTGTAGCTGAAAGACAGTAGTAAAAAGGAACCAAGGAGTAGCAGTAGAAAGGACTGCATTAAGAGCCAGGAGTCCAAAAGAGAGGGCAATATAGAGGGGGTAGGGGAGGGCAGAAAGTGGAGACGAAAGCAGAAGACGGATCATGGTCAGATGGCAGGAAAAGAGGTGAAAGGAGAATAATTTGGAGAAGAAAATTATCCGTCCTTGTCCAGTTTCGACCCCGGGACCTGTTGAATGAGAGGTGAACACAGTAACATCCAGACCACGAGAGCCCCCTTGTTTGGGGTCACTTTAAAGAAGAAGCATATCTTTTTAAAAATAATACCAATTGTTCAATTTTGATTTATTTGTCTAAAACCTGAAAAGGTAGGCAACAACATGCATAGAATGAAATAACTATGTACATTAGCGTGTCTGATTTGTTTCTTCTACTCACTTAACATTGCTTTATCCTTCCTGTTGTATCATCTTGGGCGTTGAGGAGAAAACGAGCTTTTAGTCTCTGGCAAGTTGGAAGGCATGTCTGGGTGGGATGTTGTGGGTCTTCACATCTGTGTATAATGGGGAAAACGTGCTGTAACATTGCCTCTGGTCTTATGATCGGACAATATCGCTACATCTGAATTGCAATGTTCTGTCTGTTTAAGCCCTTTTTTTTGGGGGGGGGGGGTTAATTTGACGTTAACATTTTTGAGTTTCACAATATGTCAAGACTTTTCGAAAGCAGTTCTTCTTAGTATATCTTGATAATGACTCTGAAAAAGCTTACGATTTAGAAAGAGTAGATAGAACATTTGGTTTCTGGACTCATGGTCTTAATAACTCAAAACAGACAAAAATGTCAGATAGAACTTTGTAAATCTGAGGTATCGATATGTGTCCGCTACGTCTTCAAAGAGTACAGAAAGATTAGGTCCCTCGCTAGGATACGGGATTCAGACTAAAGAAAAAATCCGTTAATATATTTTTTGATAGAACCGAAAGCAATTCTGAGCTAAAAATATTCTAGTCCAGTCCTTGTCAACCTTTTTAAAAATATCCAGTGCCCATGTTTGGCTCCTTATAGAGCAGAGGTTAAGATGTTCCTACCACCCACCTACAGGGATTTCCAAGGAAGGCATTGTATAATGATGCTATAACTGTAACTACCCGGATGATCCGAAAAGCCCCCCAAAATGACCAAATTGCTCACTAATGGATCATATCACACTGATGCACTGCCCTTGTCAGTATTTATATAAATATAACAAGAGAGAGAGAGAGAGAGAGAGAGAGAGAGAGAGAGAGAGAGAGATAGAGAGATAGATAGAGAGAGATAGAGAGAGATAGAGATAGATAGAGAGAGAGAG